CGAGGCTGTGTGCTAAGGCCACTAACGTGCTTGTGCCGCATGTGTCTCTACCGGGAAAAAAAACAGGAACTCGGCAAGAGGTAGTTTCAAGCACACTCCCTACAGAGCCACTAGGAGGCACCAACGGACTATAAAACTTAAAGTAGCTGTTCTAAGGATTTGGATCTGTCTGATTACCCTGATTACCCACAATGACTGCTGGAGACCATCAGGCAACATAAACAGAAATAAAACTAAATACTAATACTAATTAATAAAAGCTCGCAAACTTGGCAGTGGAGTGTAAAAGCCATGACCGGTATCTCTCTCTCCTCTACGACGTGTTTCATATCATCCCATCGCCATTTTAATCAAATCATATTATCTGATGCAGTGTGATAGTTGAGTCGTGCATTACTTTAGCATTTCCATGATTATATAAAGTAATGAAGTACATTTACATATACTGTACTAAACTTTTGACATTACTTGAGTATTTTCATTCTATGCTACTTCAAAGTTCTACTCTACTACATATATTTGACACATATAGTTACTTTTACATAAAACATGATATTCTTATACAGTATAATATGATGCAATAATGATACTATATAGTAATCCACCCAGTAGTATGCAAAGTCTTTCAAATTGGCTTCACATTAACAAACTACAACATTAAAAAGCTGTTACTTGTATTTGTAAGTTATAAAAACAGAATACTATAATATTCTAATAATATAACACAGTGGAAGGAGCATTTCTACATCATGAGTACTTTTACTTTTGATACTTTAAGTACATTTTGCTGATAATTCTGCTAAATCTGTATTTTTACTTGATTTTGAACTCAAGATTTTTACTTATGTAATGGAATATTTTCAGACCATGGTATTTCTAGTTTTACTTCAGTAAAGGATCTGAGTAGTTCTTCTTTTAGTATTCTTGGCAGCTTCCTGCTCCAGTGCTTTGTTTTAATGTGTTAAAGGGTTTCTCACCCTTTTACTTTAATATTTTAATCTCAGTCTTGTGTACAAGACGAGACATAGCAGGCATAACCTGTATATCTTGGAGCCAAATATAGTACTCTTTACTGTACTAAATTTATTTGACAGCTGAGGTTATGAGTTACTTTTCATTACATTAACAGATATGATAAGATTTTATGAAATACAACAAAATCTGCTGGGGCTCATTAACTTTTCAAATGTCTATGAGTTGTAAGCAGTGCCACCAGTGAGACATCACCAATCCAACCTTCTCACGCGCTTCCATTTAGATTATTGTTTGAGGCCTAAAGAGCTGAAATTATATTTTATAAAGAAAAGCAAGTTCAAAAATAAGACAAAAGTGTATGTGTGTGGGCTGGTGTAGTCGTCTGTATGTGGATTAGTTGATGCAAGATTTTGGCAACAGAACGATTAGAAAATCCATTTCTAAAATCAATTTTACTTCCAGACATGCACTGACTTTAATGGAGCCACAACTTAAGAGGCTGCTGGTGTGCAGCTTAAACATTAAAATAGTTTGTAAATGTACTGCATTTGGCAGGGTAGAGGTCATGCAGCTTTCTAAAGCAGGCCACGCACGTCTGCTTTGTTTCTCTTCACAAACAAAACCGTCCCCCATCTGTTTAAAATAAAAAATAAAATGTGGCCACGAGCATTTCAGGCAGCGCTCCAAATCTTGTCCTTTGGAGGAACACACAAACATAAAAAATAACAAAATGCCAGAGGTATAGGCTAAAATGAGATTACACAATTGTCCTCTAAGTGAAGGTTGCAGTCAAAGTGTGTTTTTCCTCCTAAGTGGGTTGCCTATAACTGGGCCAGAGTACGCTATTTTTGTGACTCTCATAGCAGGAGGTGGGGTCTGCTTTAAATGACATCCAAAGAAGGGAAATGTGGCACGATGTGATCAGACAATCAGCAGGCCGTCATCACTCGCCCCGTCCTCTGAGACTAAAAGGGAGAAAAAGAAAGAATTGGGTTATAAAATGTCCAGTTGTTGATGTGTGGTGACTGACAAGCTGGGAAATGTGTTCGTTTGAATCCCAGCTGGGAAAAACAGAATGATGAGCTTGAGATTTCCTCTAATTTAACAGCTTCTGTCCACACTCCCTTGAGCCATACATCTAAATGCAGCCTGGCTTCTTGATTTATTGTACTTAATTTGAGAATTTCTATGTTATACTGCTTTATACTTCTCCTCCACTGTATTTATTTGACAGCTGTAGTTAGTTTTCAGATTGGAAGAATAGTTTTACATTTTAGGAAAGCCTTATTTTACATTTACATTTACATTTACTCATTTGGCAGACGCTTTTATCCAAAGCGACTTACATTTGAGGAACACCATACAAGCATCAACAGAGCATCAACTACAGATCTACAACTGACAATACATACTAGTAAGAGCAGCAATAAATACTAGTAAGAGCTCACAGTACATATCACATCAATGGGGTAGATACCTAGGGAAGGAAGTAAGAGTTAGCAAAAAGTGCAATCAATACAAGATCATTGTAGGGGATAGAAGAAGAAGAGCACAGGAAGTGCATGTTAGAGGTTAGAAGTTAGAGGTGTTATAAGAGGAAGTGTTCTCGGAAGAGATGAATTTTCAAGAGCTTCTTGAAGTTAGAGCGGGACGCCCCTGCTCTGATGGCGTGTGGTAGCTCGTTCCACCATCGTGGTGTCACAGATGAGAATAGCCGGGACTGGGATTGCTTTGTGTGAAGGGATGGCAGAGCCAGGCGGCATTCGTTGGAGGAGCGTAGCGGCCGAGAAGGAACGTAAGTATGTATTATGGAGTTTAGGTAGATGGGTGCAGACCCAGTAGTCACTCTGTATGCAAGCATTAGTGACTTGAATTTGATTCTGGAGGCCACGGGGAGCCAGTGGAGGTCACTGAGTAATGGAGTGACATGAGTTCTTTTGGGCTGATCAAAAACCAGACGCGCTGCTGCGTTCTGAACCATTTGTAAGGGTTTCACCGCACAAGCTGGGAGACCTGCTAGGAGGGCATTGCAATAGTCGATGCGAGAGATAACCATGGCCTGTACCAGAAGCTGGGTGGCGTACTGAGTGAGGTAGGGCCTGATTTTTCTTATGTTGTATAGAGAAAAGCGGTATGACCGAGAGACAGTAGCAACATGGTCTGAAAAGGACAGCTGGTCATCAATCATGACACCCAAGTTTCTCACCACCTTGGTTGGAGTGATGGTTGCGGAGTCAATTTGTAGTTTGATGTTATGGTGGATAGATTGCTTGGCTGGAATGATCAAGAGTTCAGTCTTAGAGAGGTTTAGTTGAAGGTGGGAAGCCTTCATCCATGCAGATATGTCTGATAGACAGTCTGTGATCCGCACCGTGACAGTGGGATCGCCTGGCGGGAAGGATAGGTAGAGTTGCATGTCGTCTGCGTAGCAGTGGTAAGAGAAGCCGTGCGAGCGAATGATCGGCCCCAGTGAGGTGGTGTAAATTGAGAAGAGAAGGGGCCCAAGCACTGAGCCTTGGGGTACCCCCTGTGGAGAGGCAGTGGGAGGAGGATAATTGTCCTTGCCACAAAACATTGTAGGAACGCCCCGAGAGGTAGGATTCGAACCACAGGAGTGCTTTACTCGAGATGCCCATTGCTGAGAGAGCGGATAGCAGGATCCTATGGTTGACTGTGTCAAAGGCAGCTGATAGGTCAAGCAGGATAAGAACTGAGGATTGGGCTGCAGCTTTAGGGCTGACCTTAGGGCTTCTTTTACAGACTGAAGAGCCGTTTCAGTAGAGTGGGCACTCTTAAAACCAGACTGGTACGGATCTAGGAGGTCATTCCGTGAAAAGAATTCTGAGACCTGTTTGAATACTGCCCGTTCAATCGTTTTGGATAAAAAAGGTATAAGAGACACTGGTCGATAGTTCTCAACTTGAGTTGGGTCAAGTGAGGGCTTTTTGACCAAGGGTGTAACCCGAGCCCTTTTGAAAGTGGTTGGGAAGGTTCCTGAAGCCAGAGAAGTATTTATCACATGAGTGATTGTCGGGACTATAGTAGGAGATATGGCTTGGAGGAGATTCGTAGGAATCGGGTCCAGTGGGCATGTAGTTGGACGGCTACAGGTCAAGAGTTCTGATACTTCGCTCTCTGTGAGAGGAGTAAACGAGGAGAGTGAACAACCACTGACCTGGAAGGGCAGGGGAAAAGATGTAGTAGGACTGCTACAATGGTTGAGTTTGAGTGTTTCAAAGAATTGGCTAGTTATAGCCTCCACTTTGCCTGTGAAGAAGGCAGCAAAGGTATCAGCAGACATGTTTGTGGGTGGTGGAGGTGGAGGAGGCTTTAATAGCTCTTTAAAAGTGGAAAATAATTTCCTTGAGTTAGTGGCACTGCTTATTCTGTCATTATAGAACGCAGTTTTGGCAGCACTGATGCTTGTTGAGAAGGAGGATAGGAGCAATTGATAGCCCTTAAGGTCGGCGGGGTCTTTGGTTTTTCGCCATTTTCTTTCAGCCGCTCTGAGATCAGTACGGAGCCCACGGATGGTATCAGTTAGCCACGGATGGGGCTAGTTTGGGCGAGCAGGCTTGGTGGATAGAGGACACAGGCTATCCAGGCACGAGCCTGAATCTATAGCCGCTTAGTTTAGCTTAGCTTAGCATAAAGACTCAGCCTGTTTCTGTCAAAACAGCAGTACAAACACGACTGTCATTTTACAGGAGCTTAATGTGCGGGTCTATTTATAAGCTGGTACCATTAACTTACTGGAGTCTCTACTGTTTGCCTGGCAACTGGTCCTGGTCAAAAAATGGTTGCCCCGTAAAACAGCAAATTTCATTATTTAAGTTTTAGTACAGATTAAACTAATAAGATATAAAGTGTTAACTTTAGAGGTACTGGTTAGTGAATTTTGTTATGTTTAAACTGAGCCAGGCTAGCTGTTTCCTATCTATTCCTTTGAGATTTACAAACAAAACATATGATAAGCTTATAATACAATGTATTGATACAGAATGTGTCTTTATCTGTGTTTCCAGTCATCTAGAGTCCTGACCAACATGAAAGGTCTGCAGGGGGGAACTCTGTTTCTGGCTCACGGCACTGCTGACGGTATGCACATCTCCTCTATTCTTCACATGCGACATGTGTTTTCATTGCAAGCCAAACATAACATGTACTTTGCACAGTAACATGAAATGTGTGTTAAATTAAATCAAAGACCGTGAGTCTTTTCAGCTGGTGCGGTTGTCTTCTTTGGAAATGAGCCACTTCATGAATCAGAACATTAAAAACCTGACCTTGATGACAGCCGGTGCTTTATCCAGTGGAATTAACCCCATCAACTCTTATTTCCATGTTTTGTTTTTCTCTACAGCAAAGATTCATTTTCAGCACTCAGCAGAGCTCATCAAACACTTAATAAAGATTGGAGCCAACTATACTATGCAGGTAAATACTGCGCTCTTAAAAAGAATACATTTCAATCTTCACCTATTTTATGATGCTGTAAGACTGTTTTAATACACTTAATCATCCTCTATCATGGAAATGCAAGTTTGCAATCCTGACTTTCAAAAAATCCAAACTGCACTAGAAAAAAATACATTTAAGATGGTCCATAAAGAAAATAACCACTTGACACTATCCCCCTTTGTTTCCCTTTGTAGAAAGTTAAATGAGAAGATGAGATAGTTAGCTTAGCATGGTTTACGAAGAATTGTGGTACACATTGGCTTCAAAACAGAAGGCAGTCGCCTCGCTACCTCGCTACTGTAATAGACAGCTGCCTCAGAAGGCATAACTTTCAAGTGAAGGCATCTCTGTTTACATTGGTTTCGAACAGCCTTCTAGGGCAGTACTTACGGCAACATGTGACGTCAGCACGTCGTCTCTAGCCTTAGCATCAGCTAACTAGCCAAATGGGTAAAGATTATACTGAACAAACTTGGTTGGTTACACTCGCAGCCCTTTTCGAACACAGCCATTGAGTGAGCCATTACCTTTGCATAAAAGAAGTGGACGCAGTCATCGGATGATTAACAGGTCGCCATAGTAACGACTTGTCATCCCAAGGTAGGGCCACCCTAAAGCATACCCCGCTTTATGGTCTATTTTCCTCTAAATAGGACCATAATTTACTAAATGAACATTATGCTGTGTTGAAGAAGACTTGAAGCTAAAGATTGAGACTATAAACTCATTAGGAAAGTGTTTACTGAGGGAATAAATCAGGTATGAAGTAGCCTCATTTTACTATTATTTTTAATAGAAACAGACTTCTGTTTGCAACCAGAGAAGTTGCCCTCTGCTGGCCATTTGATAGAATGCAGGTTTAAGTTAATTCTGGGTATCCTCTTCAGACCTGGATGTTCCCGCTTGGTGATAAATAGCACTGTCTGAAACCGCAGAATGGTGTTTTTGCACTTTTTGAACAGATTAAATCAAAACATTTAAAGTCTTAGTGAGCTTTAGAGGTGCTGGTCGGTGTATTTTGTTACCTTTGCAAAGAGCCAGGCTAGCTGTTTCTCCGTATTTCCAGTCTTTATGCTAAGCTAAGCTAACTGCTGGCAGCAGCTTCATATTTACTGCACAGACTGTCAGAGTGGTACTGATCTTCACATCCAACTCAACAAAGCAAATACTCTTGTATTTCCCATATTGCCTCTTTAAGGAGTTTTAATGTTGTAAAAATAATCGTTATAACACTGTCTGACAGTATCAGCTTGTCATGAATGACACACTGGAGTCAGTAAGAGTTTTCAATCATACAGAAAGTACTGTAGATGCCAAACAGTGTGTATGTTTGTCTGGCACAGAAATTAAGAATCAATTACCTGATTTTCATGGGTTTTCACTTAAGCTGAAGTCTGACATTTCTGTATGATCTCAAATCAGTTGTGACCAAGGACCTAACTTTGTGTTGAAATGTGGTGGGGACATAGGCACTCAGACTAGGGGTGTGAAGAGACACTTACAATATGCAATATTAGTTTCAGGAAAATGAGAAGAAAACATCCTCGGACAGTGTTTTAAAGATATCCTCAATGCAGAGATAGATGAGCGGGGTGTCTGGGGGAGGTCAGGAAATTTTGATCATTAAACACTTCATTTCCTGCATTCTGGTGAAATGCACCAATATATGATGGAAATGTTTTTATTTGTGTAAAAGGAAACACAAAATTCAGGCAGCATGTGACATTTCAAAATATATAAATATAACAGAATAGAAAGCAGTACAGCTCTCAGGCATTCTGTGCTGCTTTCAGATCTGTTTCTCCTGTAGATCAACTTTTCTCATGTAATATCATCCTTGCTGGGTCAGCACACATGCCGGCATGATTTAGTCTTCTCTCTTCTTTTGTCATGTTCACAGGGAGAGAACAGAAAACTTGGCCAAAAAGGAACTGTGTCAAGAAGTTGTTAAAGTGACTGATTGCTGCTTTCATGTTTTTGTGTCATTTTATAATCAGCATCTTGTTTTTTTAGCTTAAGTTACTTTTTTTGGACAATGCACATTTGTTTCTTCTATATTTTAATTGCATGGCATGTTTTCTTAATGTGCAAATAAAGCTTTCTAAAGGCATTTTCATTTGTTATTTAACTGCAAGCTATTATATGTCATGTAGTTTTTTAACAAATTATGCTTCAAAAAAGTGGTGGGGACACACATGATTGGACACAAATGACGCCTAAGATTGTGATGTTTTTAACTTTATTTAAATAGACTCTTGTTCAGGAGCTTTTGACCATATGATGTGGTTTTCCTCTTCAGGTCGAGTGTGCTCAATTGTCACTGCACTGTAGATGTTAAAATGCATTTATTCTGAGCACTTTTGACATTTTGTCGTTTGAAATTTGAAAGTCTACAGTTACATCACATACTGATGAACACTGTGCGATACGGTCAAACCTCCAGAACAAACAACCCAGTAATGTGAATAACTCCAATATCCAAGAAATATATTGAAAAGAGTTCTGACAAAAAGTGCGAAAAACTTCACTTTTGAAGTTTTGGATGACCTTGTATGTTTGTATATCTCCTTTTACTCACACATCTCTTGTGTTTTTCGGGACAGATCTACCCAGACGAAGGGCACTTCCTGTCAAGACGCAGCCGGATTCAGCTGACTCACTCCCTAATTGGTTATTTTAGAGAATGTCTGCTTGACGCATCATCATTACTTGACCAACAACAACGGGACGACGAGTGAGAGGGAATGTGGTTATTACTGGGCCGAGTGTGTGTTTAGGAGTGTATGAGCCCCTGGTAGACTGAGTGTGTGTGTGTGTGTGTGTGTGTGTGTGTGTATGTGTGTGTGTGCGTGTGTTTTATACCTGTAGCACAACGTTTGATGGACAAAACAAGCTTCTTCTCAACATATCAGACTAGTTTCTTCGTTCATCACTTCAGTAGAATAAAGCTCCCACAGTCAGCTCTGTTGTTAAGTTTCATGATAGGTAGCAGTCTAATGGAGGTCTACCTGAAATATTGCCTCTCTCTTCCTGACAGAACAGGGAAAAGTACTTCATTTTTGCAAGATTTTTAAATTCTATAAAATGTGGTGGAGGTTTGGAGAAGGAGGTGATAACATGAGTCTCTCTGTGATGCCATAGGTAAACATGACAGGCTTCAAGCGGCACAGTCTCCACAAACTGTTGTGAAATTAGCACAAATTCTGATATACTTTGAAGATTACATCCCTCAGCAACATTTTTATGTGCTATTGTATATTAAGTAACTAGAAACTAAAGTTACGAGATCAATGTAGTGAAGTGAAAAGCACAATATTTCCCTCTGAGATGTAGTGGAGTAAAAGTATAATGCAGTATAAAATGTAAATACTCAAGTAAAGTACAAGTACCTCAATGCTTTTCACTACTAATTTCACAAAATTTTGTGAGACCTTTGCTAATTATCTTGTGCTGTCACCTGTCACCTTCAGTTCTTCCTGTTAGTATGTTTTTTAGAGGCCCATTATATTGATTATGTATCAAGCTCTTTCTCTAAACATTTCTTTTTTTATTCAAATTGCACCAATCTGGTCATTGGGACATTAAACTATTTGAAAACATGACAAAGCCTGACATCAGGGTCGTTTTCGTGGCATATTGCTTCTCTTGTATTCTCTTTACTATGGTTTTTCATTGCCTAATGCCAATATTTCTCAAGACTTTACCTGGAAGTGATTAAGGTGCACAGGGAAGCATAGTATAACTGGTATAACCAACCAAAAAGCAGACATGTCTGGCTCATTGTAAGACGGCCTCTACAGGCCCTTTATCATGTCGTGTTGTATATGTATGTGGGGCGGCTTGACTGTTTTCCAAGTATGGTTACAGATCTGTTAAGTTATCTAGCTCTTAAATAGACAGCAATAGTGCTCAACATACAGTGTGTACAGTAATTTACGTTTTTATTACACTCTGTCTCCTTGTCAGTATTTATTTATTTATGTATTTATTTATAAAAGTAGATATTTATCATTTCACACCAACTTTTTTGACAAATAATTAAAATGAACTTTTTTTCCTAAATATTTAGCTTAACGGTCATAATGGTCACTCTCTGTCTGCAGTAGCTTAATGAGACAGCTGATGACTTTACTACTCTTACTCTGGTCTTTATGGATACATCCTTTTTCTTAGAACAAAAGGTTTCAGTTTTTTACACATTTATTTACTGTATAACTTTGTCACTTGGAGTTTGCCTTTAATTTCCACTGTAATGTTCTCATTTCTTGTGCAAATGTCATGTTGTGTTTTGATAGTTTCCAGGCCATTTCATTTTTTTATGTTTTCTACTGGTTGCCAAAATGGTTTTAAACCACTTAAAGTTCTTTCAAAATATTATTTTTGCTTCATAAAACTTGGATATCCAAATTTATTAATTTTAAACGTGTCTAGCTGCTGTTAAATATTTCAGGTACAATTCCTCTTCACTTTGCAGCCGAGTTTGTACTCAAACTTTTTTTTTCCTCTGCTGCACCAAACAGTTTGAAAGTACTCCAAGGTTGTAGTGTTATCCATAAAGCATTGTAATAAAAGGCATCGTAAGTGTTTTGGTGCATGAGAGCGTTCCTCGCTGTGATTACGGGCGTGAGAGTGACTCTGACAGCACAAGTGCCATAAATCACAGTGTTGCACGTCCTCAGTGCTGTTTTCCCCTTGACCTTAGAGGTGCTCAGTGTCTGGAGTTTAATTTACAAACTGCTGTTAAGACGTACAAGTAAAAACATAAAAACAGTAGTGACGGCTGAAATATGTGATATGTTGTGATAATCCCCCTAACGCATGGCTATTGGTTCCCATGCCAACGTGCTTGGCAGCCTTGGAGACAGCTGTGGTAATTCCTTTAAAGATGACACATGGGGCGCTCTGCTGGTGATGCAGTATGCTGAACTGTCTCAATCTCTGTGCTTTGGAACATTGACGCCACATTTTGAGTCCAGTTTAAAGAGTATGTGAAGTCAGTTATTGTTTCTTTTGGGGTTTGTACAGTGAGTTTAACTTGACTTTGTTTTTCTTTGGGTGGACATGTGGGTGAGGGATGAATAAAGAAAAGCTTATTGTATTTTATGGCTGTTTTAATATTAAAGAACAACGAATGAGCTGTTTGTGAGTCTTCCTTTAATCCTGGAGAACTACGACGTGACTTTTCCTTCATGTCTTGCGTGATGGATGAAGTACTTTAGGAAGAAGATAATTTACTTGAGTAAAAGTAGAAATACCACAGCCCAAGAATATTCACATTACAAGTAGAAGTCCTGAATTCAAAATGTTACTTAAGTAAAAGTACATTAGTATTATCACCAAAATGTACTTAACTAGCGAAAGAATTGCTCCTTTCACAGTGTTATGTTAATATTATGTTATTCTGTTTTTATCATTGACAAATTCATGTAAGAGCACTTTAATGTTGGAGCTCATCAATGTGGAGCCAATTTTAGACACTTATGTACTGATAGTACTGTATACTACTGGGTAGATTTTCTGCTGTACATCTTTCCACTACGCAAACCTCCAATTTGTGTACTAAGACATAATGTTCAGCAGTTGTGGAAGAAGTATTCAGATCCTTTAGTTAAGTCAAAGTACAAGTACCACATTGTAAAACTACTTCATTACAACTAAAGTGGATTTTTCTGTTTGGGTCAAATTGGACAGATTTACAAGTTCTCTCTCTGAAAAATGTAGTTAATTTAATCTGATTGTTACAGTTATGTATTTTTTATCCACACATCAATCTATACTGTTCCCAGTCAAACTTGAGGAATTAGAAATGAATGGGTGAGACTACAATTAGTGTCTAAAAGTAGTGTAAAAAGAGTGTAGGCACATGCCCATTCATCAGATGGACACACTTCCTTTCTCAGACCCCCACATGTGTTTGTGCTCTGGACCCAGGGGCTGGGGGCATCGGGCTTCTGCTCATGACTGGGGCAGGTGGCATGTCCATGTGCCTGTACTCAAATATAGTCAAAATAATCCGTACATTAAACATTTCTTAATTCAAAAACCAGTTGTATGAGCTCGGGTCAATGAGGCCTGCAGGCCATAAATAGCAGAAGTTCAGAACTCGTAATGTTTACAAGAACTTCTGTTGATAAAAAGCAAAACATTAAGTGATAATATATGTATTATTATAGCTTTAATCTATGGTAATGCATCATATATGTCTAAGATCATCATGTTTGTAGTGTCACTGTCCTGTGAGAACCACGTATCTCTAAAAAGTCAACTTTTCATGAGCTCAGAGAACCAGCCCTTTTCTTAACCTGTAAAGGAATGATTAATCCTTCAGTCTGACCTCATACTGAGGAAGGTATGGCAGCGTGAAATCCTGTTAGCAGGCTGAAAATCTCACCATCATGTTCTTCGTTCATTCATACTGAGAACAAAATCTAACAGAAAAATCTGCCATAACAGGGACATTCATGAAACAGGCGGCTGAAAAAAACATTTATCTTTCTTTCTGACCTTCATGACCCTTTTAAATCCCCTGTCCACACAGCCTAGACTCTGCTCAAATTGAGCCTTAATTACATCAAAGCAATTACAGAGCCGATGTGAAGACTTCATCCGCTGAGAAAGGGAGGAAAAACTCCAGCAGCAACTTCAGAAACTATGAATTAAGACCTGAATTGGAGAATTAATCAGTCTCTGGTTCTCCACAGAACATCTAGTCTTTTGTAGTTTCTACTGTAGAAGAGAAATCCGCCTTAGTTTAAAAGAAATCTTGGCTTTCTTAGCACATTCACAGCAACTGGCACAACAAATAGGTCTAACAATATAACTATATTTAGGATGTTATATACAGTCAAAAGCATACACATTTCATCACTTAGCCAGGGCTGTCCACGTAGCGTAGGCCATGTAGTGCATGCATAAGTGTGTATGTGAAAACATTAGGCATGTTGTCTACCTCAGTGCCAAGCTGGTGGCCTGAGATTTCTCTGGACAAGTGGCTTTAAAGTCTGCAGTAATATGCTAATAGGTGAGTTTCCTCTCAGAGGAACACGACACTGCCATCTTGTGTCGGAACACCCACAACTCACCCAGGTGCATTACAAACAGTGCTAAACTAAATATCTTTGGATTGTCTATTGAACAAGAAATGAAAATTTACCTCTACTTAATTTTGAAGCATAGTACTCTTGAGAAAAGTAGGTGTAAATAGCTTTATTTAAAAGGAAATAAGGCAGTCTCTTATTGGAGAGTCATATTTTAATAAACCAAACACCATAGGAGTGAGCTTGAACAAATTGCTGCTCGGCAGTTACATTAGTGTTTATTAAAAGGTCTACATATCAGTCGTTAAACTGCACATTAACACATTAACACAGACTGCTTCTGGAGGAGACTTAAAATCATTTCTTTATGGGATTAAAAAAAAAAATTGTTGCAATCTGAGAGAACTTTAATACTCCTCCCCATCTTCATTTTCTTCATACGAGTCAACGTCAACCTCTTCGTAATCTTTCTCCAGGGCGGCCATGTCCTCTCTGGCCTCAGAGAACTCTCCCTCCTCCATCCCCTCTCCGACGTACCAGTGGACGAAGGCCCTCTTGGCGTACATCAGGTCAAACTTATGGTCAAGTCGAGCCCAGGCCTCTGCGATGGCGGTGGTGTTGCTCAGCATGCACACGGCCCTTTGCACCTTGGCCAGGTCTCCTCCAGGAACCACAGTGGGAGGCTGGTAGTTGATTCCCACCTTGAAGCCGGTGGGACACCAGTCCACAAACTGAATGCTGCGCTTGGTTTTGATATTGGCGATGGCCACGTTAACGTCTTTGGGCATCACGTCACCACGGTACAGGAGGCAGCAGGCCATGTACTTGCCGTGACGCGGGTCACATTTCACCATCTGATTGGCTGGCTCGAAACAGGAGTTGGTGATGTCAGCCACAGTGAGCTGCTCATGGTAAGCCTTCTCTGCGGAGATTACTGGGGCGTAGGTGGCAAGAGGGAAGTGGATACGAGGGTAGGGCACCAAGTTGGTCTGGAACTCAGTCAGGTCCACGTTCAAGGCGCCATCAAAGCGCAAAGAGACGGTGATGGAGGAGACGATCTGGCTGATGAGGCGATTCAGGTTGGTGTACGACGGGCGCTCAATGTCCAGGTTCCTGCGGCAGATATCATAGATGGCCTCGTTGTCCACCATGAAGGCACAATCGGAGTGCTCCAGGGTGGTGTGGGTAGTCAAGATGGCATTGTAGGGCTCCACCACTGCTGTAGACACCTGAGGAGCTGGGTAGATGGCAAACTCCAGCTTGGACTTCTTGCCAAAGTCTACAGAGAGTCGCTCCATCAGTAGAGAGGTGAAGCCAGAGCCGGTTCCTCCTCCAAAGGAGTGGAAGACCAGGAAACCTTGTAGTCCGAAGCAATTGTCAGACTGAACAAGAAAGGTAAAATTTACTGTTAAAGAAAGGTGTAAGATTGCTAATGAGAGTTTATAAAAGGTTAACTCACTCAAAGATTACACTGCTATTTTGTTCTATTAGTTAAAATTGTGGTTTCCAGTCATCTCACGATAGCAACAAATCACCACATACTCTGAAATCAACAGCTGACAAGGTTCTTTGCACTCAGACAGCATGACTAATGACATCTTCTGGATGTTATTAAACTGCTAAAAGCCTGGCCTTTCATTATTTATTATTATTATTAACGACTTCAAGAAAGAAAAAGTGTTTTAATTTTTGCCCCAAGCAGCCAAACCCTTCGGCTACTCTTCTTACCACTATGCGCATCTTCTCGAGGACAGAGTCAATGTGCTCCTTTCCGACGGTGTGGTGACCACGGGCGTAGTTGTTGGCAGCGTCCTCCTTTCCTGAGATCAGCCACTTGGGGTGGAAAAGCTGGCTGTATGTGCCTGTACGAACCTCATCTGGAAGAGAGAGAGAGGGGAGATAATTTTTTAGCATACTGTATGATGGGAATAGTTTTCTTAGTTTTTCCTCTACATGGTCTGATGTTCATGTTAAACATGTCAAAAGCTTCAAAAAATGAGGTACAAGTATTAATCCCTCTGTGACAAAACCTCAGATTTCCCAATGTTCTTAATACTGTGGTTTTAACAGTTTTTTCTAACTGCTTTCCATATATAGTAATTTGCTTCAGGCACAGAATGCCATCCACGCCCACAAAGTGAACGCACAGCCCCATCCTCCTGGCAACCTGTGGCGAGTTCAATCTCAAACCGGTTTGTAACGTTTTCTGATTGAACGACATGTTTCCTTGAAATGGTATGAACGTTACGCATCGGCCTTCGAGGAATGTTTTCTGCCGTTTGGTGGGAGTGTCCGAGGTGTTAACCAATCAAGAGCGAAAATTTGTAAACACAGCAGTTTTAAATAGGAAGGAAAATGCAGTTACACATACACAGTGGGGTGTTATGGGTAGGGGTGTGCCAAAAAAACAATACTGCAATCTATCGTTATACATTTTTCCATGATACTGTATCGATATTTCAGCACATCATATCGATACATAAAATAAATAAAAAATAGCACTTTATGTCATGTACATATTATACTTAGGTGGTACACAGCAATTTGTAGTTGCAGTAAAAACATCAGTAACTTAAGTGAATTTGCATTTTTATGTGCTTTTTATGAAGAAATGTTTTAATAATAATTTTTAATAGTTTTTTTCATTCATTAATATATAGACTGAAAAATGTGTGCTGTTTTCTAACAGTTTGGATTTGCAGCAAATAAATATAGAACTTTTTCACGGGTATTTTGTATTCATAGTTAGACAGATTTTGTGATGTTTCGTTTTAGGATTGTTTAGCGATATATCGATTATCGCATTGCTGTATCGTGATATTTTCATTATTGTGAGCCATGTATCGTGTATTGTATCGCAAGGTACCCCGCGACCTCTAGTTAAAGGCACCACTGTTTCCGATGAACTAAATGTTTTGCTTCATTTTGTCGGCGCTGAACTCTGGTAAACACAGACATTGGCCAATCAGGGGACAGTGGGGTTTCAGTTGGAGGCGGAGATTAAAGAGACAGGAGTATCTACAGCTCGTTTCAAACAGAGGCTGAAATGAGGGCCTACATAAAGTGCTAGTATAAGACAGAAAATGATTGAAAA